TCAAAGTTAAATGATTAGCATATAGTCACCGAAGTATTATATGTTGACTTTGTAGTTAAAACCATCTAATTCGATTGAAAAACCATCAAACTATTTTTTATGATAATATAGAGAAAAGATTAGTACGTATGACATTTAAAAGTTCATAACTTCCAGAAAAAGCTACTCATCATTGGGTACTTTTTCATTATTAATCAATTCTTCAAACCTAATACGTAGTAGGAAATAATATTGTCCTACTTCTCTCATGTTTATTCGTCTCATATTTCATTTTAAAATCAAGTCAGACTGTTTGTTTAGAACTAATGTAACACCTGCTATAAGCATACCTCTAAAATCTGAGCGCAAAATAAATAATTATGAAGAATGAGAAGTATACGAAATTGTAGAGAATTGAACCAAGCCCAACAAATGCTTGTTGTCTCTTTAAGACAAATGTGCTTGCAACAATTGTTTTCCAAGATAGAACATCATTTCATATCAAAGGACTCCGGCGAACCAAATGGTGCACTTAAGTGGTGGATTTAAAAAACCTTTTGCATGAAATAGTTTGGACGTTTATGATTAGGAGCCTTTAAAAAAATGATTAGTCACGGAATTATTGTATGTTGAATTTGTAGTTAAATTAAAACCATCTAATTATATTTAAAAACCATGGAACTCTATTTTTCATGAAAATATCGAGAAAAGGTTATAGGAGTAGTACGTAAGACATTTAAAAATTCACAAGTTCCAGAAATGGCAGAAAATACTACTCATCGAGTATTTTTTCATTATTAATCGATTCTTCAAACTTAATATACTAGTAGCTAGGAAATATTGTCCTCCTGTTTATTCGTCTCATGTATGATTTTTACATCAAATCACAATGTTTGTTTTGAACTAAACAACATGTTTTCTGACAGAAATGTTAGTTTTACTATACTCTTACAATATAATTCAAAAGAACAAGTCTACTTCAACTTTTTCAATCTAAATAGACGTGGCAAACTCATGTGTCGAACACAGTGGGGCGGAACTCCGCGGAAGTAGCATTTCATAAACATGTGAATAAAACTTTCTCTTTTGAAACTTGAGGGCGGATTTTTTTTAAAGGGGAATTTTATTGAAAATGGGGAAATATTACAATGCAAAAAGGAAAGAAAGAAAGAAAAGCATTACTAAAAGGAAATACAGAAGAAACCAAACCAAAAGTAGGAAAAGGCAAATAGATAACTAGTCCCATAGAACTTGAGGGTGGATTTTTAATCATTTTAATAGTTGCATTTCCAACTTTTTTAATCATTTGATCTTTAGTAACCATCTTACTACTTTAATCACTAAAAGGCTCGAAATATAGCCTTATTTTTCAAAGTCACTTTCTATCATTCTATGACTTACCTTTTTAATTTTTATAATCTACATAATGAAAAATTTAACAATAATAGGAAATGAAGGGATGGGTATATAAAGCCATCAATTCAAGGCGTAAGCAGTGTGAACGTTGTAAAGCAGTATTAGTACTGGACAAGGTAGTACACCAAACACAAAGGTTATCCGTCATCCATCACATTAATTTTTATTATTATTACTAGCTAGTATGCATATTTTTTTATTAAAAGAAAGAAATGAAATTTCGAACCCACTCTAGTCCTTTTATGTCTTCCCGGAAAATGCTCTTTGACATAGCTCCCCTTTTTAGTGCAATTTTGTTCACCCCTTCTTGGAGGGTGAACATCACCCCCTTAACTTAAATGTTGCCATTTGACATTATATTTCTTTTTGGGTAGTACATACTACGTAGTACGATAGAACTAGAGAAGCAATTTTACGAAGCAAGATTTATTTAGAACTAGAGAAGCAATTTTAGGAAGCAAAATTTATTTTATTACAACACTTGATCCAACATTTTACTACATAGAAAACTATTTTGAAATAACAACGTAACACTCAAGACATATCTTTCATCATACTCATCCATATACATCAAACAAGATTTATTTACTTAATTAGTTAAATGGTCTATAGCCATGAGCGAAGCCAGGGGTTAGGACGGTCAGTTGACCCTCCTGAAGGTTTGACAAATATAGAGTGTTGAAATACTTTTCGTTTTATATATTATGACTCCATCAACTCAATACGAGTAAACAAATTATGATTTCCTAGAAAATCAGCACTATTTAAATTTAAAATGAGTGAAATTTGATTTTGATACTAGTTACATTCTCATCATGGTTATTCTATCCACTTGCCCTATATGTTAAAGGCTCCCAATTTTTGAAGACGAACTTTGGAGAAAGGAAGTATCCATAGAAGGAGTAAAAATAACAACACTTTCCTCCTGAATGTGAGTTTTGCAATTGCAAACAATATTTTCTTTGATTTTAGTATTATATTTAGTATTCGAGAAAATAGAAAAACAAAGTAGAAAAATGACACTAAATGAGACCTAAATTAATTAGTTGGTTATGTATTCCAAAGATAAGGCCTCTTTGGTGGCCCATTTATTTGGCATATGTGTTTTATGAGTCATTTTCTTCATCAAACTCGTAACATTTGCTTTGACATGCAAATTTGTGGAATTATTAAAACCAATAAGTTGGAGTCACCTTTAAGACTGAATTAGTTGAAATTACATATTGTAGAGGGTTATTTAACTGTTTTCATCTGTTTTTCTTTATTCATGAATAAAATATAATGTATATTTTGATTTTCTTTCTCAAAATTCACAAATTCAGTCAATTTATTTGGTTCAACCAGAACTTCATCAAGTTCAATAGATTCAACCAATTTTAGCTTTATATATCAAACGAACTCTTACTTGTTGATCATGAAATTGGGAAAACAATTGATCATATATCTTTAATTGAAGTAGTTGATGTAGATTAAAATTGATGATTTTAGTGATATCATAAGTTCATAACTTAACTTGAACGTGTGATATTAATTTCTCCCATTTTTTAATATATTATCCCCTCTGCCCCTCTAATTTTGTTCTGTTTTGTCTTTTTTTGTTTGTCCCATTAAATTTGTCTCATATCACATTTAATCATATTTGGGTGATTACAATTCAATGTTACTTTATTTACACTTTATCAATTAAATAACAATTACATAATTCCATTTTTTATTTAAAGTTGTATAACACTCTTTGTCTCAAACATAGCGGGGACGCGCAGGTAGTACTATTTTTAATTTCTCCCATTGACAGTTGTGTTTTCTCTATAACTCTATGAGTTGGCCATCACTTCCATTTCAATCACAAGTTAACAAAATGCAGTCAATAGTCTTGACCCACTTCAATAATACGGAGTACTTCCTAAAATATATCCACGGCCCGCCTAACGGCGGATGGAACTGTCTGGATCATCATTCACCGGCCATACCAAATATGGACAACCCAACACTGCTAATCTGCTATAGATATCTCATTTTGTAAATCAATTTATACCTCAACTTATATTTGTGGTTCACAATAGCTCACCTCAATAAATGAATTGCCACAAAAATATGGTGTAGTACAAATTGGGGTACAAATTAGAGTATCTTTAATGTTTTTGAAATATGGATGGCATTGAAGTACATGCCAGTGTCATTTTCCAATTATATTGCATTCTATGATAAGTTTGTCACTTATCATTAAAATAAACCATTTTGAATTTCATTTGACAATTGTTAATTATAAATGACTAATCACATTTATTGGATGCGAAGGTGCATTTCTTTGGATATTGCCTTTGCTGAGGGTGTAGCAAGAGCAATATATTGAGCTAGATCGGTATAAAAATATTTTTTATACTCCGTAATATGTATACGATTTTCTTTGGTTAACAATTTAAATATGATTAAAATTTGTGTGGGCCAAGCCTAGATTGACTCCCTAACTATGCCCCAGCCTTTGCCCAACTCAAATAATAACGAGTATATGAACATAATAATTAAAACAAAGACTTGTCTATCAATGCACAACTTTAATTATTGATACAATTCATTCTTTTTGAAAATTAATTAAAAGTAACAATATTCAAATTCTGAAAATAAAGTGAGAGAAATTTGAACAATTTTTTCAAAAATTTAATTTCAAATTCATTAATAAATAAAGTAAAACTAATAAAGTAGAGCATGTAAATGGGTAGAAATTTAATTCATAGGAAACTTAAAATGAGCATGTTAGGCGCGGTGGCGCAACATTAAGTAAATACGATGTACTACGGTAAAACACAAGCCACAAGAATCAGGGTCTGTTTGCAATTCATTAAAAAAAGTATTTTTAACTTTTTTTTTAAGAAAAAAGCACTTATTTTACCAAACACTATCAACTTTTACTTTCTCGGCTTTCGTGAGGAATCTACTTTTTACTTTTTCTATTACACAAAAAGCACTTATTTTACCAAACACTACAAACTTTTACTACTAATCACTTTTTCCCCAAAAGTGCTTTTATTTAAGCATAAGTAGTTGCAAACAAAGCCTTATTATAGAATGAGCATTATAATATACGGATTACTTTTTTTTTTTGCGAAAAGAATATACGGAGTACTTAAAAAGTTAAAGTACGGCAATGTGATGACAAAACATAGCATTGCCAATAATTTAAACTTCTCACGTTAAAACTATTTTAAAAATGCGCACGAAGTTTCTGTGTGAACGTTAAATATAGAAATATAATGTCACTTTCCACCTATTGCTAAAGATACAGTGAAACGGGTAAACAAAGCTAATAAATAAATAAATAAATAAATAAATACTCCCTCCGTCCCAATTTGATGATCCCGTATTTCCTTTCTGGGCCGTCCCAAATTGATAGTCTCATTTCTCTTTTTGGAATGAAATATGTGGTCCACATCATTTCACCTTTTTCTACTCAAATCTCAACCACAACTTTTACCTTTTCAACCACTTCCTTAATATTTGAGTCCAAAAGAAATGAGATCATCAAATTGGGACTGAGGGAGTACTTGGATTCCGCCTATATAAAAACCTCGTACGGATCCAATCTCAGCAACTCATTAGTGTTTCAATTCACTCACAATATACTTGCAATATAATGGGAACTTGTGCTTCTTCACACAACTTGGGGTGGCAAAGTGGAAGATTTCTTCTAAAGAATACTCCGGCGGCGGTGGCCATGGTGGTACACGAGAACGGGGAGCTGCTGGAGTGTCGCCGGCCAGTGAAGGCCGCCGACGTTTTGTCGGAGAACCCGAACTGCTTCCTCTCGAACTCGGAGTCGATGAGCGTTGACTCAGAAATACCTAAAGTTTCGAAAGACGAAGACTTGGAGATCGGTCAACTCTACTTTCTCCTCCCCATTTCTAAGTCGCACTCCCCACTGACTCTTCAAGATATGTGTAGGCTCGCCGTCAAAGCCAGCTCTGCTCTCAATGGGTATTTCACTCCGGTGGCCGGAGCTGTTGTCCGCCGTCGCCGCCACGGTTCTTGCAATGACAGAGTTTCTAGGCGGCGGCATGTGGGCACCTTAACTCATTGGACCTTGGCTGCTGTAACAAAATTTTAATGTTCCAAACTTCCCATCACCAAATATTTGTAATAATTTTTCTCATTTCTTATGATGTTTTTTCTTCTATTTGGGGAGTTCTTTTTTTATATAAAGAGCTTGGGTGCATATGGCTAACAAATTAATTGTTGTCATACCAAAAGTGTACAATATGGATGTATAGCTGAAGTCCACTCAAGTTTCATTTGTGTTCTCGTTTACATGTTTTGAGCAAACAATTGTATGAATTGAATTTAATTGTACCTATCTTTTTATAAAAAATATTCATGTTCATCACATATTAACTTGAATTTACTTAACACAACATTACATTTTGAGAGAGTGGGTGATATATAAGATTAAGGATATTGTTTTGTTTTTAATTACATAGATTTGTTTTGGGGAAATGGCCCCAAATAGGAGCAAATTGATGCTGAAATTCCTAAATAGGAGTGGGTATAATATAATTCCCTAAATAGGACCTTTCTTCCCATTTTAATCTTCTATAATCATTTCAACCATCCGATCTTTTAAACTCCGTAACACGCACACGTGCGCTGTTGAGCATAGCAGGGGCTTCAATGCCAAGCGGTGGGTAGCAGCTAGTGCCGGCGAGCAACCACTGACGACAAGCAACTAGTGATGGCGAGAACTGTCGGCGAGTAGCGGTAGAGAGCGACGGCGAGTAGCGGCAGCCATTGTCAGATCTCTCTACCTCGCACTCCTCCGACTTTCAATTTCTTCGTCTGAATCCGACCTGGTTGCTGTGTACCAAGTCTGGGTTTTCTCTTCTCCTATTTGCATCTATGTTGTCTCTTTGCTTCCTCTTTTGTTCTATAAGAATTTTTTTGAGCTTTTACTGTAATTTCTTCTTCTTCCTCATGCTTCAACTGTTAAAGCTTTTACGATTGCCAAATTTGTTTTTTAAATGCCACTAAAGTGGCATTCTTATTCTATACAAATTCCATATTTTTCTTTCAATGCATTTACAAAGGCATTTTGGATTCATTTTGGCATTCTAATAAAAAATGTTGACATGAGCAGTGGCTTCGGTTAGATCTGCTGTATTGGTGGCCGGATCTGCGGTGAAAACGACCGGATCTGCAGTGGGGGTGGCCGGATCTGCAGGGGCGGCAGTCGGAGGCCGGATCTGGCCGGATATAGGTAGGCGGCGGCCAGATCTACGACGGTGGTGATGGTATCAGCAGCGGCGGCTAGTTTAAGCGGCAACGACGTCCGGTGGCGGCCGGTCGGCGGTCTGCCGGCAGTCGATGGCGGCCGGTCGGCGGTCAGCCGGCAGTCGGTGGCGGCCGGTCGGTAGTTTGTCTGCGACTGGTCTGGCAGTCTGAATGTAGCGATCTATTTTGTCAAGCTTCAGGGGTATTTTTTACCAAATATAGATATTAACTCCTATTTAAAGAATTTTTTAACTTTAGTCTTATTTTGGCAATTAAGAATTTAATTACTCTCATTTAGGTAAATCTCCCATTTTTTTATCTCATTTAATTTGTTTAATTCTAATCTATTACTACCTCCGTCCCCGAAAGAAGTTCCCGCTTTCCTATTTGGATGTCCCTAATTTAAGTTCCCATTTCCTTAAATGGAAAGTTATCTACATCAAAACAGTGCAAAAGAGTGTCAAACAGTGCCAAACAGTGTCGAAACAGTGTCAAAACAGTGAAATTTAACCCTAGTAAGTTTACTTGCATAAAAGTGTGTGAAAGTCAAATGGGGAACTTCTTTCGGGGACGGAGGGAGGATAATTTATAGATGACGTTGTAGGGATAAGGCTCAAATTAGATACTATGGTTTCATCATAATCTCATATTTGACACTAAGGTTTTAAATGGACCAAATTAGACACTATGGTTTCATATGTATCTCATATTGGACACTAAAGTTTCATAATTCAATATAAGTGAGTGTCCAATTTGATCTTTATACAATATTAATAATGTAATATTTAGGGATTACTTTGTAATATTCTGGAACTCTATTTTTTATTATAAATATACCATCAAGGCACCCAATAGGGTAAGCCATTATTCCTAAAACTTATTATTTCGTATATGGTATCAGCCGCCTAGGTCTTTTTTTTCCTCTCCCCATGGCCGGTATCCCTTCTTCCGCCGTCACTATGTCTGGCGCGATCGATCCCATGCAAGCGCCCATACAATCGGAGCTGCTGCAGACCACCGCATCTCAGGCGCCCACACAACCGGTGCTGCCTTCATCTACGCTCCTTAGTCCGATAGGCAGGACTGTCGTGACATTCGATACAGGTTCCAGTAGTGTCGTTCCCACCACGACACGCAGCGAAGATGCTTCTCGGTCTCCTCTTACACCGGCACTTCGACAACGGCTTCCCCAGGTCTCCTCTCTTGAGTCCTACAAATTGTTCAATATGCCGGAACCTTTTTCTTGGACTCCTACTTTTAGCCTACCGCCGCCGCCCCTCCTAACGCCGTCAGAGCCTCAACCCGCCATCGGTGGACCATCCATACCGTTTGCCGGTCCCACCTTTTCTGGTCAGGCGGGTGTTCATCCCTTGCTGCCCGGACAGTCTTCAGCCGCACCCAGTTCGGTTCCTCATTCAGGTTTACTCTCCACTCTGTCTTCGCAATTAGTGTTTTCCACACCCAATGTGACCAATATTGTTACCACTCGTTTATCTGCTGTGGAGGACTATTTACCATGGCGGACTCAATTTGAATCGTTCCTTGTATCTCATTCTCTTCTTGGGATTGTGGACGGTTCAATTGCGGTCCCCTCATCTGCTGATTTAGAATATCATCATTGGCTTAAGATTGATCAAACAGTGCGTTCTTGGATTTTTGCTACACTTGCACGGGATATTTTAATGGAGGTCTATGATTTAAAGTTTTCATATTTAATATGGACGCGGCTTGAAAACCGATTTATGCCTGCATGTTTTGCCCGGTCTGTTGAACTTAAGCGTTCCTTATCTCATATCAAAAGAAAGATTCACAGACTATGGACCAGTACTTGCTTGAAATTAAACTGATTGCTGATGCTCTAGCCATGATCAATGCTCCTGTTAGTAACCGTGATCTCATGGAATATGCCATTGTGGGATTGGGGCGTGACTATGAATCCCTTATAAATACAATTTCCTACTTTCCTGGTAATGCCACCCTTGAGTCCTTGCGGCCCATTCTCCAAGCACAGGAAAAACGAAACAGTCTCGGTCAGCTCCAGGACGCCTCCACAGTTCATCAGGCCTTCGCTGCAGCTCCTGCTCCACCTGGCCGAGGGGGTGGGCCTCGTGGTTATGGTGGTACGGCTCTTCGAGGACATGCTGGTCGCAACAATAATAACAACCGAGGGGGCCGATCTCGGGGTGGCCGGGGTCGTGGCGGACGTGGTCAACATCAGTATTTTCAGCCTCCGTACGGGACATATCCGGCTTATGCCGTACCATACGGGCAGCCAGCACCTCCCCCACGTGGTCATGCATATCCTGGCACAGGTTCGGTTTTAAGTAATGTCAGTTCTGCTTATAGTTATACTAATCACTTTCCTGTTTGTGTTACTAATAATGTTAGTGCAGGTTTTCCGTCTATTGAGAACAATTTTTCCTCACCTGCTCCACCAGTTGTCTGTCAGCTTTGCTATTCTCCAGGTCACTCTGCCATCACTTGCTCCCGTTTCACAAATCCAAATACTCCTGCACTTGCGGCCCTTCCTACTGGTGAGACGCATGATTCGGTCTGGTATCCTGACTCTGGGGCTTCCGCGCATATGACTCCTCACGAAGGTATTTTGTCCTCTAAATTCCCTTATACTGGCCCGAATCAAGTATGTGTTGCTAATGGTACTAAACTTCCCGTATCTCATATTGGTCATGCTAAATTATTTACGTCTGGTCGCCCGTTGCATCTTAACTCTATTTATCACGTCCCACACATTAAATATAATTTACTATCCATACAAAAGTTGTGTGCGGACAATGCCTGTCAAGTGATTTTTGATAAAAATTCTTTCTCTGTTAAGGACATTCAAACGGGGGAGCTTCTTCTTCAGGCCAACAATAAAGATCATGTCTATCCCTTTACCACTTTTCAAGCCCGTGTTGTTCCTGGTCCTGTCTGGCACAAGCGTCTAGGACATTGTGGTGATAGAGTTCTTTGTAATCTTAGGCAAAATAAATTGATTAATTCTTCTTCAGTTTTTGCTCACGACTGTGTTTCTTGTAAGTTGGGTAAATCCCACAGACTTCCTTTTACTGATGTTTTACATGATACTTCTGCTCCTTTAGAGCTTATCCATTCTGATGTTTGGCAGTCACCAGTAGTCTCTAACCTTGGTTTTAAATATTATGTGTCATTTATTGACGATTTCTCTCGTTATACCTGGGTATATCCTATGCGTAGGAAATCTGAAGTATTTACACATTTTATTAATTTTCAAAAACTAGTTGAAAATCTTTTAAATGTGAAAATTAAAATTTTTCAGAGTGATGGTGGTGGTGAGTTTGATAACTCACTCTTTAACACGCATTTTCTTAATTCAGGCATTTTATTTAGAAAATCTTGTCCTAATACTCCAGCTCAAAATGGTGTAGCAGAACGTAAACATAAACATCTTCTCGAGTTGACTAGGACATTATTAATTGATTCCTCTATTCCTAGTCACTTCTGGGTTGATGCTCTTTATACTGCCACATTTATTATTAATCGTTTACCTACACCAATTTTGAATGGAGTTTCACCATATCAAAAACTTTTTAATAAATTGCCTGACTATAATTTTATGCGTGTGTTTGGTTGTTCTTGTTTTCCTAATTTTATTGCTGCCTCTCACAATAAACTCTCACCACGTTCTACGCATTGTGTTTTTTTGGGGTATGCGCCGGGTTATAAAGGATACCGCTGTTTATGTCCGTCTACGGGGCGAGTATATGTTAGTCGGGATGTTATATTCCATGAAAATGTTTTTCCTTATTCTTCCTTGATATCTCCACCTCCGTCTCAGTTATTTCCTTTATCCCGGTCGTGGCTGTCTACTTCGGTTACTTCCTACCCCACCACGGTCCAGCCACCAGCTATATCCCCTGTATTACCAGCTCCCTTGCTTCAGTCCAAACCGGTCACACGGCCTGAAACCCAGCTGCCTCCAACCTGCCCTAATACCCCTATGTCTCACTCACACTCCACATCGGCTTCTGCTTCTATACGACCTCCAAGTCCATCCACCTTATCTCCGATCCATACTCACACCAACATAGCGCCCTCCAGTCCTACATTACCTCCGTCCCCAGCCTCA